TTTTAACCTAGAAGAAAGTTCCCACATAATCTGGCTCAGCACGAGCATGACCAACTGGGGGTTTAGGCAAATATGCAATACTAAATGGGACCACTTATGCAGGAGTAGTTTCTGTGTCAAAGAAGAGCAAAATTTAATACCAGAAAAAAGAGAACAATAGGTTGTTGGAATCATGATATCAGCTGACGCCCCCCTTTAAGAAGGCATCAGAGATGAACATTTGCAAGAGCAAATGTTGCTACACTAAAAATAAAAATTAGAAGGAAATTACAGCTAAAAGGGGAATTCGAAGCAACAAAAAAAAAAGAAAAAAAAAAAGATTTTTAGAGCAAGATGGGTTCCTTATATATGTGGTCTAAATACTAAGAAATTGCTGAAGTCTGCCTTTTTTGAGGTTTCACAAATCCCAGACCAGGTTTTAATTATTCTACCAATAGTTCAGAATAATCTATTCCAGCTTTGATGTGTCTAGGTGTTAAAGCTGTTTAATTAGAGTAGATTAAAGATGCTGAATGTAGGGAAAAAATTAAGTGGAATCGCCCTTTACTCATTCCTACGAATCGGAAGCCAACTTCATCTTTGGAGCAGCGAGTACTTGTTTTCCCTCTTGGCCAGTTTTTACTTCATTGGCGTTTTTGCCACAAATAAGTAACCACATCCGTTCACGGAATGTGAACAAACGATCCCTTTTACGTTTCTGTTCAAAAGCATTTTTTTTTTTTTTTTGTCTCCCGAAATGGAAAATGAAATTTAAATCATTTTTTGAACGTTTACTTTTCCCTTTTCTGTATTTTACATCAAAAATAAAATCGCCATTTGTGTTTGTTTTTTAATACCCGTTTCTGAATAAAGACCCTTTCTCTTTTTTCTTTCTTTTTTCTTAACCCTTTAAAGCCCGATCCAAGAATAAAACAAAACAGAAAATTACTTTTTTTTTTATTTGAGATCCTTATTTGGCCTTTTAAGAAAATATGTAAAAAGAAAAAACAGAAATACATTTTTGATATTTATAATTTATTACTATGTGATAAGTCAAGATTATTTTTTGTGTAGTCTTCTGCCCTCTCTTATCGGGTATATCTGATTGTGTACAATAGGATTTTGAGCAAAGTTTTTACCATTAAATTATGCAAAAGGTGTCAGACGCATTACATACATTTGGCATTACAGGGTTAAATGAAAAATATTTTCCTCCTCCTATGTTTTAATGCAAGGACAGCTTGTCCAATCAGAACAGGGCTTTGCTGCAGCCTGACCAGTCAAGGAGACACTTTTTGTTTTTTTGTGCGTGACGTACAAAATAGAAAAAAGGTGTTAAAGTATCGGGGGAGCGGTGGGTCTGAAAAGGGTACAGAAAGTACAGTCGGCTGGAAAAAAAACACAGTTTGACAAGATGAACAGCGCAGGTAGGTTTATAAAGTGTTTACAGCTTGATGCATCCTTTGCAGCAGTAGGGGCTCATCCAAACATTTTTTTTTTTCATTTAATTTTTTTGTTTATTTGTTTGTTTGTTTTTTTCCAATGATAATATTTGAATTTCTGAAATGCTTCAGCTAATAAGGGGATTATCTGAGTCATATGGTGAAAATGTTGCAGTTTCAAAAAAGATAATAAAAATCTTTCATGAGAAAAAAAAAAACGGTGACATGAACCAACTGTTCTGTCTATCATTTAGCTTTGCCTGATTTTTTCTGCCAAGATGCTCAGCCTGTTGTTTAAAAGAGTCTGACAAACAGCTTCTTTCTATAGCTGTATGTAATGGAATGGAAGAAGATTTTTTTTTTTTTTTAAATCAACCTGAATCTGCTATAAAGGAGACTTGTGCGCTAAGGAGCGCAAGCGCAACCACTCCCACGCAATGAAGGACAAGGAAGGGCTGAGTGATGAGCTCAGGGGCCAGGGCCTCCCTTTGTACTTTTCTATCACTCAAATATATTGTTGTGAGGTTTTACCAGAAGATTATGAATATATTAAATAACTAGAACTGGAAGTTATAGTTAATTAATAGGTCAAAGGTAAAACTAATTAATTCTAATTAGTTTGAAGTCAGGGAAGTCATATTTAAATGTCAAATCATTCTGGCTTCAACGTGTAATCTTTGTCAAACCATATAGTTCCAAAAGTTAAATTTCTATATAAAAAAAAAATCCTGTCTGCGTTTTTTTCGTTATCTTATGCAGGCCAGTTAGTTATACGTCAGCCTGTACACCTAAATTCAATCAAACTTATATCAAAGGTCATCTGTCAATCAAATGTTTTCGGTCATAGCATCTTGATTCATATGTCACAGCTAAGGTACGCAACGGTTGAAATAAGAAATAAGAATAATTATTTACTTTCCCATTGAGTTCCGTGCCAGTGTTCACGGGGCTGGGCGTCTGCGTCTTCG